GGAGCCATTTTCCCCCCCCGGCCGGAGCCCGCGGTGCGCCCCCGGGCCAGCCCCGCTCCGAGCGCCGGCAAAGCCCGCGGGGGCCCGGGGCGGAGGGACAGCCGCCTCCCAGCCCCCCCGCGCCTGCTCGCCTTCGTATTTCTCCGCTGGGTACCGCCGTCAAGGCAAAGGGTGGTGCCTGCACCCCTAGGAATGCGGAGCTAAAGGCCACCCGTGTCCCCGTGTGCCCAGCTCGAAGGCGCAGACTAGCCCAGCCATTTCACATGGCATCCCTTTTTCCCCCCCGGCATGGCAGTTCGGTCGCTCTCAGCACGTTTGGTCACCCACACCAGTCCAAAGCCCTCCCTGCTGGGTTGAGTGGCTTTGGGTGAGCGCATCCCATGGAGGGGAGATGACCCCCACATCCCCAGACATCAAACACAAGGGTTGTAAGCACGTCCGCCCGCTGTGGCATTGCCCCAGGTCAAGGTTGGGCTGTAGCTAACACGTCCAGGACAAGGTCCGTCCTTTCTGACCCAGGTTAGGCCACAGACAGCACTTTCTCAGCTCCTGCGGCCCCCAGACACGGGTCCTGCTTGGCAGAGGGAGGAGGCTCTTGGCTGCAATACAGTGTGATTTCTGTATCAAGATAACTCATTGGAAATAGTTGTCTGTATGTCAGCACTTCAGGAGAGCAGGCGCTGCGATTCGCTCTCAAAGTAGTAGTCAAGGTCAAACCCAGATGGCAGTTTTGGCGTTGGTCTGGACTGGCCAAGGGAAAAAAAAAAAAAAAAAAAGAACAAAAACCCCAACCCATCAGTTTGTCTGCTGGGATTTCACAGCTAGGAATTTTCCCTAGAGAGGGAAACCGATGTCACAGCGGATCAGCTTTTTGTAATTAAAGCATAACCTCTAGAGCGTAAACTGGGACAGAGAGGTCTCTGAATCTGCAGAAGGTGTGGATTCCCAATCCCACAGGCAGGCAGAGACACCCAAAATGAGCTTATGTTTGTTTTTCCAGTAAGAGAAATGCTATTTTGAATTCAGTGCAGGAAAAGAGATTTTTAGACTCGTTCCACTCCAATCCGTTTCCTCAGTGTCTGTGCTCAGTCGGGAACTGATCTTTCATGAAATAGAGTAAGTGATCAATCTTTCTCAGAAAAGTGACCCCACCGAGTATAATGGCGCTATTCATGGGCATAAGCTTCCCCCTGTCTGCAAATATCTGCAGATTCTGGTTATTTGTTAGCTCCCATTCCCTCATCTCTGCATACACGCACCAAAAAGTAGGAACTTTTGAAAGAAATGCTAAGTCCAGGAACACACGCAGATAAACAGGTATCTTCGTTTTTCAAAACCACTGCACTGTGCTGTGCTAATAATATCTGCATGTACTTGCAAGCACTACTGCATAACCATGCATGTTTTGACTGTTCTTTGGGGTTGTTTAAGAGTATTTACACCAGTGTAACCACAACGGGTGCTTAAAGCCCTTTCTTAAAGTGAAGAATTCAAGCACCATCAGATATTCATCCTGTCACAACAGGACAAAGGAGCAGCGAATTCACTACAGCACATTTACTGATACAAAACTCCCTAAGGGAGACCTAGCCTTAAAACATCACAACATTTTTGTCATGTCACATTTTTGTCACAGAAATATGTGATGACCAGAGCTAGAGCTGTTCTGTGGTCATTATACACAAAGACAAACTTTTATTTATGAAGGAAGCAGCTAATAAGAGTGGAAAGAGATAAAAAAAAGTCTAGGGATAAATCCCTTTTCAGAATGGGTAGGTACAGGAGGGAAATAATTGTTTCCAGATTGGAGCCAGGCAGCAGTCCACATAGTACAGTGAAGAAAGAGCAGACAGCTTTCAGCACACTTGTTTCCAATCAAGTGGAAACCGAGTGTCTGAGGTTAGCCTAAATGGAAAGCACAAACTGAAACAGGTTGCTAGTCCAATCCAGGGACAAGGATGGAGGCGCGAAGGGAGAACAGTTTCTTTCATAGACAGATGAAAGCCTCCAGGCACCAGCGCTGTTGTAGGTGCTTCACGCTGCCAAGAAGCCCTCTCTGTGGCTTCAGCACCATTGCGTTAAGTGCTGTACAAAGAGAAAAAAAAGATGGTCCCGCTCTGAATCAGTGTACATTCTTCAAGTAACAGTCTCATATTGGGTCTTAGAAGACCTTGCTTCTGCTTAAGCCATGTTCTTCATTTGAATTTATACTTCCTGCTTCCAAAGAAAATCATTGCAGTGCCTGAGGATGGTGAAGGAGGCTGCGTTAGGGCAAACAGTTGATCTGGCCAACTTTTGTGTGGGCAACTAGTCCTCATTCAAGGGCCATTAAAATGAAGAGGATCTTCCACTTAGGAAGAGCATATATCCACTGTATTTGGTCCTGAAACACAGCGAGGACAGACGCTTAGGACAGATACTCACAGAAGGGCATGGAGCTGTCCTAGTTGTGTAACATGTCTCACTGCCACACTGGCTATAAGCATTTGGGGAAAGAAATATCACAGCTGTCAAAGTTAATGGCCTTCCAGCACCTCTGTGCAGTTGAAGGGAGACATGTTAATTATCATGTCTTACTTAAAAATAGTTGTTCCAAATGTGCTCACAGTGCCCAGTGAGCAGTGTGTGTGGCTCAGCTGGGCTACGGCTGCTGAGCCCCTGGGCTGGGGGCTGCCGAGCGCTGCGGGGTGGTGGCTGTTTGCAGGGTCAGCAGGACTGGCCCTGCCGTGTGTGAATGCGTGGAGGGAAGAGGAGGTTTGGCTGCCAGTGGGAACGGTGGTTCTTGCAGCAGGAGAGCCTGCTGCCCACTGGAGCCGGATGAGAGGCCTGTTTGGGCGGGAGGGGAGATCAGCTGTGCAGGAAGCGAATGCCGGATAGGAAAGGCGGACAGCACAGCCAAGGCTGTTTTACTCCTTTCAGCCTCTGCTGTGACCCCAGCTAACGTTTTGCTTTGTTGTTAAAGCCTGCTCCCAGGCACAGCCCTCCAGGGCTGGGGGAGCCCTGGCAGACCAGTATGGTGCTGGTGACCCTCTCAAGCACAGGCAGACCTGTCCTTTGCTACTTTATACACCCTTTTCCTCTGGAGTCAAGGTCCTGGTCCACATCTCAAGGCTTGCTACGCTGAGCCCTGGGATAGTACCCAAAAGGTTGCCAAAGCAACAGTGACCCTGGCCTCTGGCACAATGTCACACCATTGTGAGGGCCTGAGGCTTGGCAATAGGCTCCCCAAGACTGAGATGTGTTGCAAGTCTCAGCACTTTCCACTCTAAGTGCATGGTATATTCCTTCCCCTGGCCTGCTTTCCTTAGGGAAAATCCAGAGAGACGTATATTGATTTGAAGAACCCCTTCCCCAATTCAAACCTCAGTAACAAGCCAAAAAAAACCCCAGAACACCTTACCAAAATGAGGTCCTGTACTGCAGAAATACCTCCTTCTTTCTACAGGGGAGAACAGTTGCATGATAGATATTCATCATCCTATTCACTTAAATCCTTGTAGGCACTCAATTAATATGGCGTGGACTGCACTATAAAGCTAGAACAGGACAGAATGGACCACAGTCTACTTATTATCAATCCAATTATAAAAACAAAACAGAAAAATATTATAACAATTTAATCATAAAACAACTACAATCCTAAAGTACCCTCCTCCTTCCATTCTTCCTTTATTACAAGATTCATTTTCTAAATTATTAGTCTCTCTCATGTTTTGGACTGGTTGGACAAGACAGCTTTCATTGTGTTTCAAAGATGAGTTGTCCAAACTGTCACTGTTCATCCAGTTCAGCATCAGAAGGACCGTCAGCATCCTTGCAGAGGAAGGCAGTATTTGATGGCATTTCCTCACCAGTGAATTGAATCTTATAATCACGTAAAATACAGAAATAAATGGATTAATAGAGAGTAATTCTAAAGTCAGCATACTTATTTTCTATTTATGCCAGTGTGACAGAGAATAAATCTGGCTAATATCTTACATGAAAAAGAACCACAGAAGACTCAAGAGGAAACACAACACTG